AATCCGTATTCTGTACCCTTACGAGAACCGCTTCCTTAAAAAAACGGTTTTTAAGTAATCCTACCGCTTAGCCTTGACTCAACAACGTAATCTTTCTTCAGATACGATGTACACAGCATTTTGCAAAGAACAGACTAAATTCTGTTCTAGACGACAGTTGTACCACTGCGGGCTTGGAACCATAAGGAGATTGAGCACGAGCTCATTTAGTGTCAAATGACTAACTCTGCATATAATTTTAGGCAAAATTAACACCAATGCAGTGCACTAGCAACGTCAGGGGTAATAGGACGGTCTGTTACCATTACGACAGCCAGCCCACTGCCATTCCTTGAAACTGAATAAATAAAATATGAATAAAAGATTTTCGTGACTGAAAATTGGTGACTCATAAAACCGACATAGCGTTTAGTAGTGACATCGGTAATAGGGCATCTTTGAGCCGTTGCATGATTTTACAGGGCATCGTTTTACTCAGAAAGCAGCAGATTAATGCAAAAAAAACTACCACCTAAAAGTGACCATCTTTCAACTGCAAACAAAAAACGAAACCTGCAATGCCAGTATGTCCTAGGCTTCGACGATCCTTGTTTCATGCTACTGATTAGTGTGGCACTAGCCTCCATTCCGATATATTAGCCTTATTAGCCAATTGAGCGGCCACAGCAGTGCAATAAAAACAACTTGTAGCATTTTTTCCTTCGTAAAATATGGACCTCTAGGGTCGAGGGGTAAATAATCTCATAAGGGATTGGAATTCACAAATTTTCAACTGCAAGCTCAGTGAATACCCTAGTGAGCTTCCAGACATCAGTAATGTGAACCAACTGATTTATGCCTTGCTAGTAAAGACTGTCAGTTAGGAAAGCTAACGAAGCACTAGAAAACTATGTAGTGGGCTATATCTAATACCTTGTGGATGTCTGACAACTTTCACGTACCTCAAAAGCCTATCCTTGGCGTCATTGTCCTTCTAAGGCTGCCGTATCGTCATGCCTCCTATGTCATCATCTACAGACCAAGAAATGAAACAGATCATCTTCTCGACATATTTGCATCGTCTAATGAGCAAGATCCTGTCATTTTATTAATTATATTCCATTCGAACTGTCAAAAACCTTTGCACCGCTACGCTCTTCACTCTGGTCTTGTGTACTGACACTACATCGGTTAGATACCACAGGTTATTTGCGTAAACAGACACCAGCTGTGGAGCAAGTGAACATAATTTTGGCCGTATACGTCGATAAGCTCTGCTAAGCATGGAACAGGTGAGCTGAATATTGCAAAAAACTCTATAAACGCACCTGCGGAAACTTCAAATGTTCAAATTGATCGGAAAACAGGACACAAGAACCGCTTAATATTTGATCTAGAACTGACAGAACAGCTAAATTCGAATTGGATATTCCTTGCGGTATTCCGGAATCGGAACCGGACGCCAAGACCATATGCCTTCGATCGAGCTCGACTGCAAGAACTTCTAACACATACTTCTAAAAAGCAAACCTTAGTTAAACAAACCCGAAAGGTGATTGTCAACAGCACAAACTTCGAATAAGGGCAACTGCTCACTGATGCTGATGCTGTCATAACAGGGTGGCAGTCCTTCGATAGTGTGTGTGTTCGTGACGAATTTGTAGAAAGGCAAGAGGTTGTAGGCAGTCGGTGGTACATACAAGCGATACGGCCTTCTCGGAGACAACAGCGGTGCCATCCAAGGTCGATGCCACTGTCGTTCATACTGAGTCCATGGGCGTTCCCACGGACTGACGGCTTCGATTTTCTCTAGAGGAGTGGGCAAAATTTTCACCAAATTAGCGAAGTCCTAAAATTTACAGCTTTGTTTCACCTAAATGTCACAAAGCTAAGTGACATCAAGACAATTTAAAATTAAAAAAAAACAGAAAACGCATTCAGCAACGAAAGGAAACGAAGGAGTTATTTAGAAAACAAATAACACTTAATCCGGAGAACAGTGAAGCAATGACAGTCGTTCAGTCCTACATGTCATACAGTTGGTTACGAATCGAAAGCAGCGACACGATTTCTCTTAAAATCTAGATTTCTTGATCAGTAAACTTTGCATACTAACTGATCGAGAAGTAGCAGCTGCAAAAAAGGGCATAATAATGGTCTGGCCATGCCAACAATGTTCTTTGATCCATACGACAGATGATCACCACGAGAAGTAACTTTAAACTGAGTCAGAATTCTTCATTAGGACGAATCCATCAGCCTTAAATTCTCCCCATATCCACATCGGCATCAACACCAAGAAAAACGCACAGCAGCCAGAATGAAATGCAGTCTAGCCACTAGTCCTAAATCAAGAATACTGCTATAAACCCAAAAACAACGGCGATAGGTACGAGATGTTTCGGAATGGTCGTTCGCCACATTCCTGTGGCTGCGATTTGAATCTACAATTTTCTATGCTATATATGGATTTAATCTATATATGTATGTCCATCTGTTACCATTATCTGATTTCAACGAAAAATCGCACCTATGTGAAAGTTATGAATTTTAAATATTTCAGGACAGTGGTTTACAAGCAGTTTGTGCAGATCTCGCCCCTTTCTTACCATTATCGTCGTTGTAATTCATTCACAATCATTTTATCGAAATGGCGGTGAGTTTAAGCCCAAACGATTTCATTACGTTTTGAACGGGAAAGCTGCGACAGGAACGAAACAAAAAGATCTTTGTAAAAAAGAATCTAACAGGAGGTTCAAACGATATAAGAAAACTGGTGAACATTTGGCGTAAAAGCCCAACTGCAGAATTCTGGAGAGGGCGCAATGATGCAATATCTTAGAATATTAAATTCAAAATGACAAAGAAAACTAATGTTAACTTTTAGCCTTAATTCCTTCTAAATAACACGACGCAAATTTTGCGAAACACTGCCAGCGTTACTCTGAGTTGACATCATGTTCTGACACAATGCTTAAAATATGGCAAGGGTAGTTGCGGTGGTAGCAGAGGTTAAGTTGCAAGTTTCGCAGTGAGCAACGCTTACCGTTTGTCGAATCAGCATTGATAGGGATGCAATGAAATGGGTATAACTGAGTATTTTTCAGTTTGAAATGTTACGCTGGACATGACTGATTTGACTCCATGCTTTGCGTTTCATGCTTCATGCACGCGTGAACATATGAAACGCCCTCATAATAAACAGTGAAAAAATAACGACTGGATCAGTATGGTTTCGCGAGGTCGCGCGCAATGGAATCATACAACAAAAATACAAATCTTTGACATTTGGACGTTTTACATCTGTGAGAAGATACCAACGAAACAAGACTGTTCGCAAACAGCAACCTTCTAGTCTCGACATCTACAATGATACAATGATACACTCATCGCCCTGGTTGCGCCTGACTATTCTATCCATGTACAACACAAACAGGAGAGGGGACAGAAAGAAGCTTTGCCGCAGACCAATGCCAACGCTGAAAGGTCTCGACTTAAGTTCATTTACTCTGACACCTGTAATCAGCATTTCGTGATTGGATGGCTCGTAGCAACTGGCCATCGATCCAACATGTTCGCAGGCATCCCCACTGACTGCTGCGCGGAATCCGGTAAGAGGATTTCTCTAGGTCCACAAAGCAAGTGTAAACCTGATCAGCAAATTCACACGATTTCTCAATAATCTGGCGTACAGCGAATATCTGGCCAGATGAGCTTCGGCCAAATCAGAAGCCACCGCTCTTCTTGTATTTGAGTCACTTATTCCACAACACTTCCGTTCAAGCACATTTGCGTAGACTTTACCGGAGAAGCTCAATATAAAAATGCACCAATTGGAGCACTCCCTGCAGTCTCCCTTTTTGATCAGGGGTGTAACTACCGCCATTCTCCAGCCTGCTGGTGACTTCTTCGTAGTCACTGCGGTTTGACAGGCACGGGTAAACCAGCACATTCCCTATTCACCTTATGCTTTCAGCATTTCAGAGCGGATTTCATCCATTCCAGCAGCCTTTCCACTTTTGAGGCTTTTCACAGCTTCTGTAACTTCATCTACTGAAAGATTAATGTCTGTTGCTTACCATTCTTTAGGCGAGCCTTTCCGCGGCTACTCGGGGCTAAGGAGTTCCTCCCAATACTGCCTCCATCACCGAAGTATGTAGTCATCCTTGGTAAAAGGGTATCTGGATTTGTACTTCAGAGGTCTAAGACTGACTTTCTTTCCATCTCGGAGGCGGCGGATGGTCTGCCAGAATACCCTGTCTGCCGTCTGGAAATGCGACTTAAGCACGTCAATGAACTTTCACATGAATTAACTTTCGTTGCCGCCTTGCGCGTTTCTTCGTACGGCGTTTCAGTTCACAGCTCTGCTGCCAAGTTACCTCTTCTTCTCGCTGACATAATCTAAACCTCTGTTATCTACGAGGACATGACTATAAAGCAGCAGGCCAACCCGCTTTAGACCGGAGCATTCAATGGCAGTCTCCAGTAAGCGCATTGTAACGAGCTTTCGCTCTGTTTCCATGTCTGCTGTAATCACTGAAATCTGTTCAAATTGTCGTGCGATGTTGTTTGCAAATTTTGAGCGCATATGTGCAGAAGATAATGTTTCCCATTTGATTCTCCGGTTGCTTCTGCCACCAGATCTTCGCATGGCACTCCAGTTCTTACAATGCAAAGTGTCAACGACAAGGTGGTCATCAGTGATTGCTCCGCGCCTCTCTTAACGCGAACATCCACTGCTAAGCGTCGTAAGTGTGACGATACCATAATCAAATTGATCATCGACTTCTGTGCACAAGCTTCACTGTACCAGGTATACT